GGTATCTAGCAGTATGTAGTGGTTGAATAGATTGATGACATGTAGTACAATTTCCCGAGTGGGTACTTTGGTAATGGCCATTTGGGATGTTCCATGTAGATGTTCCATGTGCTCAATGTCAAGTCGAGGAGTCGTCTCGTTTTCGAGCCCAAGTGAGATGGGGGATGTCTCATAAAACCTGGCGGAAAATTCCTGCACCCCTAGGAATAAAAGCTATAGAGTACAAACAAGGATATAGCATCACGTTCATTTTAACACACACTGAATTACTAAATGCAGACCTTCACAGTCACTGCAAAGTGTACGTCGAATGTTTGATCCTACCCTGTAGGACTACCCGCGTCGACTTTCCGTTGGCGCGTCGCGTGAAGGCACAATGACTAGGCACCATCACCGAACAAACTCCCCGGTAGGTAACTACTCCGTAGGTTACGTATTATGCAACTTGCTGAACCAAAAGGCCGGTCGAAGCTACTAGGCTACCGTGCACTAGTACGGAGTATTAAAGCTGGCAAAACCACCCGAGTGTCCACGGAGTTTGGTGGACAAAGGTGCGCCTGCGGGAATCAAGCTTATCTCCTCGACCCCCACTGGGCTGTGCTTATCTGCGACAGCTTCCGGGTTCTAGCGGGGCAGGAAGGATGGCGCGGTGAGGAGGAAAGTCCGGAGGAAGTCCGGTAGAGAGCGAAGAGATGGAAACATGCCGAATTATGCATGTATGTACATACATGGCTTGGAACAACCACCATCTATGTGCACTCCGTACGGAGCCGTCGGTAGCTTAATGGCGCTGCCGGGAACGAACGGGAGCAGGTCGATGTGGCCCTTGGCAGGAGCAAGTGCCGCGACCTCGGGGTGATGCCAATGCTGCGCCCACGTGGGTGTTGTTGACGGAACGTGGAATTGTCAAGTAGATGGTGGTTTATTGCTGGAAGCCCGGCAGATGGGTGAACTTGTCCCCCAAGCTCCTTAATTCCCGACGGACATTCTTGTAGTACGCAGATGACTAACTACCTAGGTGGTTATGCTCGTTCCGGGCTCAAACACTCCATCTTGTGGGATCGACGTGAGATGGCCCGCCACAGAACGCAAAGCCACTGTGGAAATCGACAGGGCGACCAACGGCATCGCTCATCTATGTTGAGTCGTCAAGTCTTGAAAATACTTGACTGCCATAGATGCACCCGCCAGACTATGTCGAGGGCCGTCTCAAGTACGGGGGGTACCTCACTAGGTGTTGGCTATTCCGGGACGAGGCATTCAATATTACCTGCTGGTTATCACGGCCGGTTGAGCATCCGCCGCCGCGACAGCATCCGGGCTTACCGACAGACAGACAGACAGTCCTCCATGTAAAACTACTACTTGATCCTTGTTCAGGCCGAGATCATTACCTGAAGAAGAAACCCGATCAGCGCCCGCCGAACATTGTTCGTACATATACGCCAGAGCTGAGAAGGAAAAATCATGATGCAAGGCGGGGGGCCAGCATAAAGCTGGTTTATACGGAGTACTTGCATTTTATTGCTTGAGGAGAACGAATGAGCGTCCAAGTTGGATGGCACAAGTAATGACCCCCTTGGCCCTGGTCCTAACTCTAGACACATCTGATATTGGAGCAGCCTTGTCGTCAAGTTACCGCACCTCTGCCGGTGCCAGCTACTCGTTAGCTGTTTGGGCGCATGACTTGGTCTATTCTAACTTGGTTTGCCTGGGAGCCAAAAAATGTACAGAGTACGGAGTACCATGCCATTGAAATCGTTTAGCTAGGCATGGATCTTGCCCACTCGACAACGGAAATGCCTCACTGTCGAAACAAAGAAAAAGGTGCAGATAGGATCCTGGAGAGTGGACTGACTTTCCATTTCTTACCTCAAGTCGCGGTCGCTGTGCCGTGTGTCGTAGTTTCAGCCGACCAGTTCAACACCAAGGAACTGTGAGAAAAATTGCTACCTGAAGCGAACGTTCGCAAACACCACGGAACGGGCAACCCTTCCCAGCTTGTCGTTTGACACTCACGTCACTTAATGTCGGTCCCCGCTCGACGGGTTATCAACGCGCATGATCGAAATGACATCTCGTGCTCCAACTGCAGCGGCCATGCCTCGATGATGTGATGCAACGATTTTTGCGTTGTACAGAGTATTCGCTGCTAACATGCGATCGCTTGCCGATGGTAATATTGCCATGGACAAGCACAGTTTTTCATGGCGTTACAAGAGAATAGCAACTTGCTGAAAAGTAAAACTCAAAGGTAGAGCAGTTATACGAAGTCACACATTCTGGGAGGCAACCCAGCAACTCCCTCAACGGCCACTTGAGACAAGAGACTCTGTAGACGGAATTGCATGCCATATGTTCGTCGACATGATTCTTATGGGAGGGGCTTGGCCCACCACACCTACCCTTCCAGGTTGATCGACGGCGTGCGTCCCAGGGTGTTCAGCCGGACTAGCTTTCCTTGCGCACCATGGTCCCGTTGCCCATTGATCCGATTCGACGGAATCTAGCCGCCATGACAAGAGTAATGCGGAGTGCTTCAACCAGATTTAACAGCTCTGCTCAGTAACTAACTAGTGGTTGGACTGTCGGGAGACCGGTCTTCTCATGAATTAATTTCCACAGGAAGCATAGGACTTGATGTCTCGTAGCGCTAGTCAGGTGTGATATCTGTCGCCTGGTTAAACAAGGATACACACGCTGGAAAGGGTCGTCCAGGCGATAGTTATATAGCGTTCAACTGGTGGCAGCAATAGCAACAATCATGCCTTCTCCGAGGCATTAGAACACGCCGTGCGAAAGCAGTTTGCAACTCATTTCAATGCGTCGGCCGGATTAGCGTGCATGAAAGGTAGGATTGGTTTGCTGCGTGTAGAATAGGCTTATTGAAGCTGTGGCATCTTGCTGGGGAGGGTCAGAAGATGAAAATGTTGGATGCAGACCTTGTCCGTTTATCTATAGTTTGTTGGCTGGGTTGGCAGATCTTATACTAATCCTTGAGTCTGAATATCCGTGTTTCCTGTGTAGGTATTGATGCTCGTAGTAGAGAGTTGGACTCGGAGTCGCTGTCAGTACCGGGCGTGTGTTGTTCTTCCACGGGTTCTAGATTCTTGTTTTCCGCATGTACCCTAGCCTCGGCGGCATACGTTGATGTCTCAAGAAAATTCCCCTCGACTCCCTCTCCTCCTCCTTGTTCTTCTTCCTTTTGGCTTTGCATTTGGACTGCAGCGCACCGAGTCTATTCGGCCCGGGGGTATGACCTGTGTCATTTCCGTCTTTCGTGGTGTACCAGGATTTCCCTGGCCGCAACTTGGAAAGTCCAACTTGCTCAAAAACCGATCATGTTCCCGTGTCTGCGCGTTGCATCTGCATCTGCATATAATCATCTCAGCCTTCCGGCTTCTCTTACCGGGCCGGTCTGGCAATCTGGGTACCATTAGGTCTCACAAACACCAAAAGTGTGCTGGACTCTTGGATGCTGGGAGACGGGAGAGGAGAGAGAGCAGAATGAAGACAAGGTAGGTGCCATAAGGCCTATGGATTGTAGCAGGAGATACATGGTGCAATGCCTGGTCGTAAGAGGCACCAATGCCATCCATGTGTCTAGCACACTGTAGTTAGATATACAGTTGCTGGCGAGTCGGGAGGAGAAGGCTAGGAGCATGGACTCCAGATTAATTGATGGTGGACGGCTAGGTACCGTACGTGGATAGCAAGCTGGGCAGAGTCTGGGGTGGTACATAGCAGTAGTGTGATTCCTACTGTTGATGATGACAGTGACGGTGATGGCGAAAGTGAAACTGATCTTTGGCTTGAGCCACCTGGACTTCGGCAAGTCAGGGGCCTGCTTGGTGAAGATTGGAATCTCCAGCCGTATGCAATATGGCAGGTACTCCATCAAGTGCCTAAGTACGATTCAACTACTAAGTACCTTGTAGGTACCTACTAGCACGTGTCGGCGCAGCTGCCAGTGTGGGCAACATACAAGTTAGTTACTACTGCAGTAATTAATACATTTGCAGGTCCATAGTAAGTAGATCCAGTTTTGATGCAATGTTGCATCTCACTTGAATGCTCGCTCTGCCTGTTGGCAAATTCCCGGCGTCACGGGCAATCCCGACCCATGCAAATGCCTTTTTGCTTCGAGGGTTGGAGGGAGACGGGCATCCGGTCAATGTGGTCAATGTGGTCTGGTGGTTTTGCGTAGCTGGAGGATCCGCAGCCACCCTTCGCCCCGCTTTCCTGGAACAGCTGTGCCCACAACCCACCGCCCACAGCCCACCGCCCTCCGCCCACCGCCCACTTGCGCCCACTGTGGTCAAGTGCTCACCATTCATCTGCGCCCAGAGGTCGCCGGGGCCAGACGTATCGCGTATCACCCTGCTGCGTTGGTGCATATCCAGGTACCTGGTTCGCATCTGGCCAGTTATTACGCGTACAGCACGCCGTCTTTTCTTTGTGTGGCGGCCAGTCCATGCAGCCCGTCCATCGGCTAGCGGGTAGCGATATTGCAACTCCAGGGCAGCACCAGACATGTGGCTTCCCCGACTTCGATGTGCCGGTAGCAGTACGGAGTAGGCGCATGCACCAGTGCCAGAGCACATGTACCAAGTACTCTGTACCACCAGGCAGCTCACCCACTCCACGCTGACCTTTCAGCGCTCGCTCGCTAAGGTCAACGGCGTAGCCAATTCTAGTCTAACCAAACCGACCAGCGTACTAATACCAACCAGATCAAAACCGCCCAAACCGCCAAACGCCGCCCGTTTACCAACGACTTCGCCAAACCTCAGCCTCTGCTCCTCGCTCGCGACTCTCCCTCTGCACGATATTTGGTATTGCACCGATTTCCCCAAGCCCTCGCCAGCCGCCGTTGGACCTTCCTCCGCTTATTACTGTACGCAAGCGCTGCCATTCGAAAGCCATAGTATCCGCCGTCGCGTTGTCGCTGCCCGCAATGGTCTTCCTGCCCCCCCGGCAATGAGACATGAGTTGAAAGAATGTGTATGTTCGCTCGACCTGTAAATGGTCGTTCTTCCTTTGCACCCTTCTTCCACCTGCCCGCCCTCCTTCCTGCCTTCGTGCGTCTTGATCACAGGACCCTGCATAGCCAATCCGCTCGCCTCTGGGCAATTGCTTGTGCTGACCCTCTGCCAGCGCTCACGGACCTTCAAAACAACATGTATGTGCCTCTTCGCAGCCCGCCCTGGAAATCGTACCCATAGCGCCGACTTCTTTGACTGCCGTGTCAAGGATTCATGCCGCTCGACTCCCTGGTTGCCGTGTTGCCGAGTCGTCGCGCCGCCATGTACTGGGACCATCGATACTGACACCAAGGCAGCTTCTTATTCAGCAATCCAGGATGGAATGGCGAGGGAACAATCGCATCGACCATATCCAAGAATCTCTCCCAGCAAACGGTTCGTCTCAGGCACCCTGATGATGCTGCCCCCTTCCGTCACGACAAATGCCCCTCCCGAAACTGACCAGACCCGATCAACTAGAGCCAGTTAGCCTATGAACAACGAATCGACACAAATCTAACAACACTATCAAAATCCACCTCCGCATTCGACGACTCCATTCAAGGCCTCTTATTCGTCCCCGAAATCACGTCCGTTCCATCCTGCGATGTGCAACAATACGACTCTATCCCACGAAATGTCACCCGTAGAAAGGATTTGCCGCCTGCAAATTTCAACTTGGTGGCCATTGCTCCGTGGTTTAGCAGTGACTGCACCCAGGCCTATCTCAATGCAGCCCTCCAAGGTCCTGTGAAAGCATTCATCTTCTATAAACCTAATAACTCTACGAAAAAGCCCCAGGATGGCGACTCACCGGTTTGGAACCTCGGCGACGGCGGTGCCTGGCGATCAAACCATTTCCCCATCTTCGCCATTCCGGGCCTTCAAGGTCAGAAGATCATGACGCAACTGAGTTTGTATTCAGGCTCCATAACCCAAGTCCCCCACGGCCAAGAGGTACAACGACTGTACAATCTTCACGGGACCACGTATCTGCGCATATGGACGAAGCTTACCTTGGACCGACCGCCAAACACACCTGCGACTTGGGCCTTCATCCTTATTGTCATTGGAGCCCTACTCTTCGTAATTCTCACTGTTTCCATTGCTATGCATTTTATTCAAAGACGAAACCGCAACTCTTTGAAACGTCGGGTCCAATCCGGCGAGGTCGATCTGGAGGCGATGGGTATCAAGCGTGTGACCGTGCCTGCTTCTCATGTGGCGCAATTTCCTCTTTTCACTTACAATGCAGAGCCCGATTTGTATGATTTGCCGTTGAGCCCTCGATTACAAACCGCCCCTTCTGGCCGTACACGAAAGACACGCAAGAAGAGACGGCGTGAACCTGGCACCAAGACAGAAACAATGGGCCCTGGCGCACCAAGCGTCCGCAGTATACGAAGCAAGCGATCGAGCCTGACGGGCACTGGCGAGACCATGGCCACTAACTACCAACCCACCTGTCACATTTGCTTAGCCAGCTTCGAACATCGCGTTACAGTCATCCGCGAACTACCATGCGGCCACATATTTCACTCTGAATGCATTGACGAGTTTCTCATACAAAACAGCTCTTTATGCCCAACGTGCAAGCACTGCATGCTCCCCAAAGGCTATAGCCCCAAGATAACGAACGGAATGGTTCGACGAGAAAGAGCCTTGAGGCGGCTTAGGGAAAGAGTTGATATAGAAGAACTATCACTTGAATCTGGAGACACAAGACTGAAGTCCTGGGGCAAGAAGCTCTTTAGCTCCTCCTCACACCCGAGCCACACATCCCCTACCAAGACCGATGTACAAATGAAACCGCTGAAATCGAAACACACAACAAAAACAGAAGAAAGTCAGAACCCTATAGAAGGCGAGGAAAGCAACAGTTCGTCCTCATTACCAGATCGGACGGCAGACACTGCAACTCCAGACTCTACCGATCTGCCTCAAGTGGCTGCCACCACAGCCAAGACTCGACCTAGGAAGTCAAAGCCGCGAATGCTTAAGCTGCTTCCGACTCAACCCGAGAATGCTGCCTTGGATACGGGTGATAGAGCCCCGAATAGGCGGGGCAGCCCATCGGCGTTTGCTCGGGAACGGATGCGAGAAATCGCTGACAACAACGCACCCTTCGATGACCCTGACAAATCTCGACCAAGATGTGAGTCCAGACTTGAGAGTAGCACGGCCATTCGGCAACTGTTTGGTAACGTATGTATTAATCTATTTGCGATAGGGAGGCGAGTTATATCGAAGGCGTTCCCTGGGTTCAGTTAACCTATAACGTGTAGCATTAGCGGCATACCTTAACGAATGATACGGCTATCAACTAGAACTGGGGTATAATGGCATGCATCGCACCGGCGTTTTTGTTTTATCTCAGGTTACTTGAACACTGAAGATGGGGTCATATTCTGGTACATATCATGGGTTTGATGGGATGCGGCGTTTTTTTCTTTTTTTCGGAAGGCACCCTTTACTACTTTGTCGACGACAGACGTTTCACGATTGCGGAGTTGCATGGAACTCATCTGATCGCTATGAGGATGGCGTCTTTTATTCTTCTTCCATGACGAATTGGATACCTTGAGCTGGGATTGGCTATAGATGGGGGGGTTACAATGGTATATCTAGTACCAAAGTTTGTTCTGTTGGATGCAGCTGAAAAAAATCCATGTATCAGAGAGCCAACTTGATGTATTGTTTTTGGACTTGGGAGTTTTGACGCGGTGGGTTTTGGTTGCCTTGCACTAGCTAGTCTTGTACTCCCTGTATTGTGATGCAGGATTCTGATATCCTCTGGAGTCGGCTGGGAGGGGGGTTATAAGCACGGTTTATGGGGTTGGGCATTGGGTCAGCCCTATTCTTTTGGCGAGGGAAACTCGGCGTTGGAACAGGCCTGTGGAGATATCCCTTCCGTATACGCACATGGCCGCTTGGTGAAATAAAAAAACGGCTCAAGTATTATTCAGTCCATATTTCTGACGAGGCTCGTCTGCTCTTAATGTCGTGACAAAAACTCATGGAATCGCCCATTACAACGCCGTTAAATTACATACGCACACCCGCCTATTGGTCCTCACCAGGACGTCGCGTGCTAATACGAGCAATAACACCCTGCTGCAGAATAGTCTCGGAGTACAAAATTGTACAGAGCTGATGTAGCGCCCGACTCCTACATCATTGATTCATTAAATCGTCAAAATTCGTTACTGCCCCCTGCCATTCTCAATCAAACGATCGTCATCGCTTCTCAGCCCTCCCCTGGCCATGACATCTCTGACACGATCATCTTCCGCGGCCCGGATCCTCCGCCTGGCAGCCTGCAACCTCTCCACACCACGATCAATCGTCTCGATGTGCACGCTGAGGGGGATATGGACTGTTTCCGAGTCGCTCAGGAGCTGGGGCTCTGCAACACGGTCTCGCAAGTCGCCCAGGTTCGCTTGAATAGATTCCAGCTCGATGATTAGCCCGCTGATTTGGTCGACGGCCGTAGAGCGCTGCGAATCGACTTGTTGCAGGAGAGAGAGCTGTTTCGAGAGGCTCTTGAGGCTGCGGGAGTTGGCGCCCACAAGAGTCCATATGTTCCACAGAATTTCTTCGCGACGGGAGGAGACGCTCGCGGAGGTGCGGGACGTGATGTCGTATATGAGGCTGAGGTGGTCCTCTGCTTTGGTGAGAAGGCGCAGGACGGCTTGGGCCTCGAGGATGAGAGCTGATATGCGCTCCGAGACGAGGCCAGTGTGCTCGATATATTTGTCGAGAATGATGCGCTCGCTGAATGGTTGGTCGGCAGGCTGGAAAGGGTAGAAGATCCAGTACGTCCATCCCGCGAGCACTGATGACGGCGTGTCTGACTCGAGGGAGAGAGAGTCGATGTAGCGCGATGTCCAGCGGTTGATACTGATGACGGAGTCGACGGCCGAGCCGACGTGCGTGTTGAACCTTTGCAGGTCCGACGCTGCTAATCGTGCGGTTTCAATGTACCCGTCGAACTCTAAGGCTAGCTCGTGCCGAGCTTGGATATCGCTGTTTCGAACAAGGGTCCGTAGATCTCTGACTGCGGTCTCTGAACGCTTCATTTCAAAGGGTAGCGAGGCCCCGTCGGCACTTCTTTCGAGGACCTGCTCGAATTTGGATTGGACGCCCATAAGATCGTCGAATTCTACCGTTTGACCAGCTGTCGCATTAAGACCACCGAAGTCGGTGGCTCCGGGGGGCGGACAAAATGGTAGGTTAAGATATGATGTTCCTGGAAGGCGACATATGGGTGACATGGCGGTGTACACGGATCTGGTGGCCATGTTTTGTACAATGATGGCGCCGCCAAAGACAAGGTAGACGGCAAGAAGCAGTCCTAGAGGGTACTTGGCAAAATTGAGGGCAATGAGAATGATTTCACCGGCCCAGGCCAAGATGTTGAGCAAAGCAGACGACATTGACGGCGTGGCCATGTCGCTGATTGTCACGAGTCCGCCAGATTGCCCTTTCTGACTATAACCATCCTGGAATGATGAGCTTTTCCCCCGTCTCCTAAGGTACGTTTCATCCTCGCCATCGTAGCTCGTCCCCCTTCCAAGGGGCCGGATGGTGCGAGAGCTGCTACCGCTACCGTGTCTTGAACCGCCAACGTCTATCCGAGGCATTTTGAACTGTGGGTCTTCTGTGCGGTAGCCTCTTTGCGTCCTTGAACTCGATGGTGAACCAATACTGGGCGGAAATGGGATTCGAAGAATGGCTTTATCCTCGTGTTGGTGCTTCGCAAAGTCTCGGATACTGTCCTGAGAGCTGGGGCCTGATCTCATCCCCATGTTTCCCTGAGACGACATCTGCGAGGAAAAGGATGAAGGTTGACCACTGGACAAAGGGGATAGCACTTCATCGCCTTCGTCACCCTCGAATGACGCTCGTCTAGCGTCGAAGCTTTCGTTTTCACCCTCAACCACGCTCCATGATTCACCAATACGCAACGAGCGCTTGTCCCGAAGTGAGCTGTCTTCGGCGGCTTTGTCTGAGCGGCGGGCGCGCGGGCGCGACGAGGACATGACGTTGCGCCTTTGAATACGACGAGTGATGTATCTGTGAACTTGGAGACGGGCACTTCGAGTTTAATGAAACCCCAAGGCCAAACAAGACAAGCGCAACAATGTTATTTCGCACCCGAAGAAATAACTACTGTCCGACTGGCCTGAACGCGGACCGGTGTGTCTCGTCTGAGGGTTGCGGTGGCAACAGAGAGAAGAGCTTGCCGGCCGAAGGAAACAGACAAACAAGCTGGCGGCCGTGCTTCATATGGATGTATATAGGAGTTGGAAATGCCAGGTTTGGACAGCTGTGGCCTGGTTCGGTGAGGAATGTATGAGTCACAGGCAGTAGGAGTGTTGAAAATGAGGCGGAAAATATGAGGATGCGCAGGCAGAATGGCGGTTTGAGTGAGTGAAGGTTGGAGATGGTTGTTGCTGTTGCATGCAGGGATAAATGGGTTGGTGATGTGACGGACGCTCATTGGCCGAGAGTCGAGCATTCAAAGGCTCCTGCTGCCCGTCTTGGTCGATGCTTGTTCAATGCTTGTTCAATCATCGTTGGCGGCGGTAATAGTAGCGGGCGGTTCATGCAGGGCCGATCAACTGGTGCCTGCATGTAATACGTCTTTTCACGGAGTACGGAGTGTGCTTGGCACATACGGTGTGTATCTCTCATGGACTGAGGCATCATGGTCAAGTGTGCCCAGATCCCTTGCTTGGCTGATGATGAGGCTTGCGCGTGACCTGCGCATTTGACAATGGTTGAAGCCATTAAAACGGTTGGAGCACCGAGTATCCATGGCCTCCTCCATTGTTCGAGGGACAAGGCAAGAGAGTTTCAGAGTCGGGCAATGACGTTTAGCTGTGCCATCTCACACGCACCAAAGCATCGCATCTCGAGATGCACTCGATACGGAGCACATACATAGATGTAGAGAGACTCGACATTCAGCTGCCGAGTGCGGAGTAGTTCTGTACCAGCCAAATGTTGGGAAGCTGCAAGTGGCACTTTGCCCCGGCTCCTGCCATCACAAGCTGGCGGGGAAGCTTGGCGGGCTCCAGCGGTCCCCCGTCGATTTGATGCCCGTCAGTGCCACATCCAACCAGACATTGAAAGCCTCGGCTCGTCGTCGCCATTGCATACAACCGCAGCCGGCTGTCATACATCACCCATGCCGCGACTCTTCACCCGCACCCAAGATCTCACCGTACCTCCCGGCATCTGTCTGTCGAACTGCCAGTCGTCAATGCGGCCGCCTCCTACGCTCTGAGCTCTCTCCCTGCGCCGCCAACTGCTGCGAACGACCACAGCTTCTGACTTCGGCCCGAGCCGACAGCTCTCCTCCATTCCCTCGTCGATGCTCCAATCTCCAATGCCGCACCCATGACCGACTCTAGCTTCATTCAAGCGCAACAGCGAGTTGCGGCGCGGCGCCAGGCTCGTGAGGCTGAAGCTGTCGCCAGACTTGCCGCCCAGCGCGAGGCGTCCCGAGCCAGCTCCCAGCTTCAGCGACTGCCATTCCCCTTCAACAGACTCTCGCCTGCATGGGATGCCATGTCGTCGCGCGAAGGCACTCGGCCTGCGTTTCGTGTCGCCCAGGTCGATGCCGAGCTGCTCGATGAGGAACTTGTTGCCCTTCTCAAGGACCAGGTCTGCGATGCGCTCAAATACTTTGGCGGGGGACATTTGCATGACGACTGGTCGGCCGAGATCCTGCTGGCTCTCAGGGCCATCCTCTTCAAGCTGACCGTCTGGGACCACGACGCTACATATGGTGCGGCGCTACAGAATCTCAAGTACACAGACGCGAGGAGACACGGCCCTGTCCTTTCACCTCCCTCCAGAGTACAAAAGTCCCTCTATGGTCTGATCACCGTCTTTGGAAAGTATGCTTGGACGCGGTGGGAGGACTGGCTGTTGGAGCAAGATGACGGCTACGACCAGCCCAGCCCCCGAATCCGTCGCCTATCTCTCTGGACGTCACGGTTGACTACCATGCATTCCACTGCGGCTCTGGCTTCGTTCTTGGTGTTCCTGCTCCATGGCCGCTACAGGACATTGCTGGATCGAATGTTAAGAATGCGACTGGCCCCGCCGACAAGCCAGGTCAGCCGGGAAGTGTCATTCGAGTATCTCAACCGCCAGCTTGTTTGGCACGCCTTCACCGAGTTTCTACTCTTTGTTCTACCCCTGATCGGCATCAACAAATGGAGGCGTTGGCTGAGCAAGACTTGGCGAAAGACCAAAGAGATTGTCAACACTGGCGCCGAGGGTGAGAAGTCGGCCAAT